CATCCTCACGGTCGGACATAAAGTAATAAACATTAACAAATAGCGGCGGGGCTTTTACTCACCATAACTGCAGAGGCTCCCAGCTTCATTTGAAACAAACTACATTATAGACGGTCCGTTATTCATTAATCCCTCTGTGTGTTTATTTACTTTTTATCCACTCCGTTGTCTTTATAAAGTTAACATATCACACCGTCATTTCAAACTTGTTTCAAATTAAAAGCCCTTTATAACCTCGGCTGAGAGAATCCCTCCATTTTCTAAATAGGCTTTTATTCTGAAACATTTGTCAGAACTTCCTGTGGAAAATACAGTAGCTTGATAGTTTACATATGGCGCTTCAAATGTAGCTCCTGCCATCTGCTGACGCTTTTAGGTGACTACAACAGCATGTCGGCTGGCACATGAACAGACACAGTTCTGGGAGTGACTCAAATAATAGTGAAAGTAATAAAAATAGGACAAGAATAACCCGATGATATCACACACGCCGTGAAAGACGACCGGGGATAATTGGTGAGTACCAGCGTGTAGCGTGTACCAGGCATAATGCAAGTCCTGAGTCTGAAATATGTCTGTCAGTGAGTCCTACTCCACCTGTTTAGACTCCAACGTGGCTTCTTTCAGACTGATAGGTTTAACGTTATCTCCATTATTAGAACCAAACGACAGCCGTTGCTATTTCAGAGCTGAAGGACCAGCGTTCTAAAAGTAACAGAAGTAACTGATGTCTTGTTTGAAAATGTACTTCAGTATTTGATTACTCAAACAGCAAACTAACGCGTTAGGTTACTTGTTACTGCAAAAAATAATCAAAGTTACTTTGTAACGCATTACTTTGTAACGCATTATACCCAACTCTGGTAGTGACCAAAAGAATAAGTCCATTGGAACAAGTGACTAAAATGAGTTTCCAATGTGCCCGATTACCTTCAGGGACAGGGTTAGGAATTCACACGGGATGATCAGGTTGCCTCCTGGACACCTCCCTATGGAGATATTCAAGGTTTCTAGCTTCCACATAGCCAGGAGACATCCTTGGATCTCCCAGAAAGAGCAGTAGGAAGTGGTAGAGATGAAGGGAAGACCAAAAGAATGAATTGAGAATACAAGCAGCTGAATGAGTGTCCTTTGCAGGGTGTCTTAGCTCAACCTTAGGGACAGGGTAAGGAGTTAGGACATTCAAATGGAGCTTAGGGTAGAACTGCAGCTCCTTCATGCTGGGAACCAGTAAAGGCTGTTCTAATCAGAATGCCTCCTAGAAGCTTCCATATGGAGGTATACGTAAGGGATAATGCATAATGAGCCGGTGAATACTGGGAAAATAACTCCCTTCAGGGGAATAAAACCCCGACGCGCCCTGTCGGGAGTTATTTTCCCAGTATTCACCGGCTCATTATACATTATCCCGCTTATTACACGGCTAATTATCAGTTAAATAAATAATGTTGTCTGCCTCCGCGAAGTGCATTAAAACCTACCGGATTCAACAACTTTTGGTGAAAGTTTTGTATTCACCCAGGCTTAGTGGACTGAACTGAGGCATAAAACTCGCGTAAAATGTCATTAAGCATGACTGCCGAGTGTGTATTCAAATCCGTCTTCTTTTGTTTTTGGCAGAGAAAATCTGTCAGTATAGTAGTAGTAGCCTAGTACAGTACAGTATAGTACAGTAGCCCATTTTGTTGTCTTTTTTGTATTTATCTCATCTTTCTCCTCCTCTATCACTTGAAGCTCTACAGGTGTCAGTTCCATGTGCCGTTTTTCGCTTGATAATTTTCTTTCCTTCTCCATTTCTTTTTCTTCAGCGGCATCCCATTCCTCAAAATCCTTGTAGCTACTCTCCAAATAAGTTAAAAGAAATGTTAAAATCAGCCATTTCTGTTTGTTTTTTCCCTCGGAAGTTGTTTGACAGCTGCAGTGTTGCAGGGCAGCATCCCTAGCAATGCTGGGCTACATAGCAACTGTGTAATATCAGACCGCTGAATGCCGCGACTGACCAATCAGAATACAGCATTAATAGAGCCGTGTAATAATGGGTAATAACACCTAAGAGGAGACCCAACACATGCTGAAGAGATTATATCCCGTTTGGTCAAGGAGTACTTCAGGATACCCCAGAATGAGCTGGATGAACTGGCCGGCAGGAGGGACATTTGAGCTACCTTGCTTGGCTCGTGGCAGAAAACTCAGACGTACATAATCTGAAGCATCAGCTAAAAATCTATTTCGGTTGTCTCCCTCGCAGTAAAAAGCATCCCCATTTCCATGAGCAAACGTCCTTTAATTAGAGCCCACATTATTCGTTTGGGTCTAGAAACACGGTTTCAAACACTGATGATAACCTCAATATGGGGAAAGCAGACATGGTAGTGCTGACTCGTGCTGTGGTAGGTTCAAACAGGCATTATGTGGGGATACAGTGGCTAAAAATGTAACATGCCAGAAAAATGAATGAGTACTGGCCTATGAGACCATGATAACAGGCTTTCACATTGGCTGCCAGTTGCTGTTGGCTTGGTTTCATGAGAGCACAGCTTCAGGCCCCTGTTTTAAGAACAGCTGGGTACTAATAAGTAAGTAAACTGATAATCAGTCTGTTCTGGTCTGAACTGAAAAAAAGTCACTCAAACATAGGAAAACATACTTAAGGGAAGTTGGTCTGTAGTAGGGGCGCTACCTCAAGTCCTGGGAATGCAGTTCACTTTGAAGTGCTCATCAGAGAGTGGTCAGTCAGAATATGCTAGTGCATTTATGAACACAGTGAAACGCACTGCATATAGACGGGATTTGAGTAACAGAAAATGAAAAAGCAAAAGCTATATGTGGCATAATGTACATAATCTACATAGACTGTATTATCATTATTATTTACTGTTTGTTAGCCAGGTTGCCTGTTTGTTTTTCTCAAGACATCATGTTGCCTTAAGAAAAGGTCTTTGAGACTGAAATATCACTTTTTTTTTTCAATAAATCAATGCAAAGGTAAAGAGGCCTGTGCAGGAATCACTTTTTTTTTTATTGAGTTACACTTGTCTATGGACACTGAATGGCCTTGGTATCACCAGGTGTGACTGAACCCAAATGCAGCACTCTGAGGCAGACAGACAGTTGGTAAGGACTTTAATGTAGCTTGCAGCAGACACAGGGAAATGCAGAGGAATCCAGCAGGTAAAAATCCACACAGCGCACACACCGAGACCAGTGTGGCAAAACAGCAAGAGTCTCTGCTAAACAGAGAGTCACAGGTTGTACGGAAGAAACTCACACTGTTGCGACAAGGCAGGAAATCTCCAAGCAGCCACAGGAACAGGCAGACAGAAACCAGGAGGGCAAAAACAGAACTCATGGTCGGGGACAGAAGGCTAAGGCAATTACCGGGATTCAGACAAGGTTGGTAACAGGAAATCAGTCGGAGAAGTAGTGCTGCAGAGGTCAAGAACAATCTGGCAGTGAGTGTGTGGAGAGCAGGAGTCTTTATACTAAGCCAGTCAGTGATTGAAAGCAGGTGAGTGGAGATGGGCTGATGAGGTGGCAGGCTGAGTTGAGCAGGTGAGCAGAGTTGCCTTGATGAGATGGGTGTGGCTGGCAGTCAGAGTGGAGCAGAGGTGGGTAAATGGAAAAGTACTGCATGAGTTGAGCAGAGGAGCAGAACTGTGACGCTTGCATCACATTTAAACATAGCCAGGTATTTAGAGAAACGAATATTTCCCCCTCTCCGTTTTCAATAATAACATCGTGCACACAACATCGTTTTCAAAAATGTTGTCATTTATATGAACCCGGATAAATACGCCGTCGAGCGCTGTCATAACTATGCCAAACCTATGGGCGGCAGTGTAGGGAGAAGGATGAAGCCATGCAAGCCAATCAGAATCGACAACAACGAATAAGACGTGTGACTTCCTGTTCCTTTCAAAACAGTAAACATGGCGAGAGGTTCATTTGTGTGGACTGACAGTGAAGTAGAGCTACTCCTAAATGTTGCTTTAGATTACAACCTTAACAGCATCCATGATCAGTAGCCAAACAAAGTGTAAACACATGAAGTCAAGCATTTGCTGGCGCATGCTGTGACGTTTCAGAACCTAAAACCCTGTTTCACCCAGTTTACACGGCAACACATAAACGGCGTTTTCAGAAATCTCCATTTTGGCTGGAGTTTTTACAAATGATCGTTTTCCATGAAAAAAAACTCCGTTTGCGTGTAAACAAGAGGCCAAACCGCATGAAAATATGTGCGTTTTTCCTACGTGTAAACAGGGTGTTGGTCCTGCACAAGTGACTAGCAAAAACATGAACTAGAGGGCTGGAAGTGTGGATTGCTGAGTTTTTTAACCGTGCATATCTTGAACCCAGCTAACCACACTGATTCGGTGCAGGGTGTTAATATAGACATGCCATTGTGTTGCTAGTTGGTGATAAATCTCAGTTTTGTTTTGTTTCATTGACCCAAGTGTGAAAGAAATCTGTGGAATGCTTTTTATGACCATGACTGTCAAGTAGGTTTTGGACAGCTGTGCAAACCATCCAAAGTGCAGGCAGCTAAAATGTATCTGATATGTTAAAAGGAACTCCCACTCCAGGCTAGACTGACTTTCTGTGGCGTGTTGGTGGAGATCTTCCCCTGTAGAGCTCTACCTGCTGCTATGCTGCAATCAGAGCCACAAAAACCCCAGTCTCCATCATATCTCAAATTGACAAAAATGTATTGTGATCCCTCAGCATATACATTTTTGGGGGCTCAAGAAAATCAACAACTACAAGTAGAAAGACAGTCATAAGTGAAAGTGTGTGTGGGGGTGAGAATAAGGGCTGTGGTTAGACATTTTCAGACAGGACACTAAATAATAAATAATTCATAATGATATGAATCACATTGTTGGCTGGAACTCTTACAGCAAATCATTTATTGCTTCATAATGCAAAGTGAGTTAACATCTATTCATCATTCTGGTGTTGCGTGTTTGTTGGAGAGCTGGCAGAAAGACAGAGCTGGATTTAGTGTTGGTGAAAACGTTTACTTTTTAAAAATCTTTATGATTTAACAGCAAAAAATCTGGGCTCAGATCTGAGGTCCAGTGATGTGTCTTACAGTCACTAAAATATGTCTGTCACTATTAATCATCCTGAATGATTGCCTCGGAGTTCGTTCACATCTGGCAGAATGCCTTCTACTTTCCCCCCTTCCTTCATCATTCTTCCCCTCGTGTCTTCATCTGTCTTCCCTCTTCACTTATTCCAAGCAACATCTTAATTTTGCTGACTGTCACATGCGAACCTGTAATTTAGGGTTTTGGTTTTTGGGCAGACGGCTGATACTATAAATGGTAAAGGTTCTCTAAATCCGGTCTTTACAAATAAGTCGAGCACACTGAGTTTTGTGTCCCACAAAAATACACTTCTGAGAGGTGGAGGAGAAGAAATCAACTACAGTATGTTTACAAGCCCATTTTCATGTATTTATACAGTAGTATTTGTCACCTCAGTCAGTTACTTAGAGGGAGGGCAGCTAAACTGCTACAGGAGCTGGTCGAGGCAGACAGCTGTCCACCTAGAGCCTGGATCTGTTTAGGGGTTCTGCCTCTTGATAAAGAGAGTTTTTCCTTGCCACTGTCGCAAGTGTTTGCTCATTGGGGAATCATTGGGTCTCCATAAATTACACAGTATAGTGCTGGACCCACTCTATATGAAAAATGTATTGAAAGAACTTTGGTTATGATTTTGCACTACATAAGTAAAATTGACTTGACTTCACTTCAGCTTGCAGATGAACAAAACACAGGTGTAACTGTTGCTGTAAATAAACTCAACATCTAATTTGTTTTTTGTTTTTTATTTAACTCACTTATTACGGCTCAACAAGACTGTACATGCTGACAGCAGTACTCAGCTTGCAAGCTTGCTAGACTGGGTTGTGAGTTGAAATTATTACAACGTATCCTCATACAACGGTTCATATGATATCCTACGAAAATCCACACGTTTCGTGAAATATTGATGATGACATTACATTACAACAACACTTGCAGTGATTGGGAAACAGCTGTTGCCTATGTAAATTGTAAGCCCATAGGACTGACTGGTCTGAAAACACCAGCATGGTCCATGGAACCGATCTTACATTTGTCTTAAGAGAGACTATCACAAAATGGGTTGTATTAGTCAACAGATATAATTAGCATTGTGTTTATATTAAAAGACTGTACTACAGAAACTGTGATCATTCTTTACAGAGTCATATGGAACTGTATATCCTCAACAGATTAAATTATTAACAATTATCAATCATCAACTCTGAAATACAAGAAATATAAAAATCACACTTCAATGTGTACTCAGTTATGAGGTTTCTAATTTGTTGAGGCAATCACAGTACACAGTCTTCAGTAAGGGTCAGTATGTTTTTGACATGTTCAGAAATAACAGACAGAAATACTCACAGGACGCCTGTGGCTGTACATTATTATTTTCTGCTGCATGTGCCAGGTTAGTAACTCAAAGTACATCAGGTTGAATAGAGTGCCATCTTGGAGGCCAGACAGTGTTTTGTTAGTGGTGTTGAAGAATACGATGCACATCACTTAAGCCCAGTTTAGACCAAAGAAACACACCAAGAATCATTTTGGAATGTTGCAGAGAAAAGTTGCAGCGGTGTGAACCTGCTGTCTGAGCTCGACTCAAGCTGGCTGATGGTGTCACCTGCAACTATTGTTTGTTTAGTGGCTCATTCAAGAGAAATTGAAAAATCTGTCTTCTTTTGTGCTGTGTCACAGTCGCTACCCAGCTGTTAGACTCGATGTAAGCCAATGACAGACAGTGCCAGAGCACTACCTCTTTTTGATAATACAGTTTAAAATGGAATATTGGAGTGGCACAGAATTTCTCTCATTTTCTGGAGATAGAAAAAACTACAAAATTTTGAGGAAATGACACATAATTCACAACACAGATAACTACTGTATAACTTCAATTAATAGCCCGTGCTATTATTTGTTTAAATCACTGAAATCAACAGGCCTGTATTTGGGACACACAACTATATGGAACAGGACTTTAATTCCTTTCACAAAAAACTGTTGTTCAACAAAGATCAGGAAATACCATTAAATTGTTTATTTAAACAAGTATGAATATTACTTGTAAAAATTTAGGCTTCGGATAATATCTTACTTAAAGATCATTAAAATGATCTAGCTGCGATGGTGCATCAGAGAAAGAGAGAGTTACAGCACTTGAGGATTACGGCACCCAGCATACAGACACCACTTTAACCTGTTAAAAATTAATCCAAGTTGTGAATATTGTTTTATGAAACCCCCTTTTGATACTTTTGAGCTGAGGACCCTTACAGACTAAAGGAATATGAATAACTTAAAGGGTAATGGACATGTGAGGTAGCCAACAACCTGGTTTTATACATTCAAAGAACTTCTATTTAAAAACTGACCTGCTTGGCAACCAGACCAGGCGTCTAATGGAGACAGGCCTTTATTTGTCAAAATGCGTAGCCACACAGGGCTAGTAAAAGGGACTGGGCGTTTAATTGGGACTAGGCTTTTAATAGAAGATTCATGGTATGCTGCTGCAGGAAAAACCTGCAATTTAATTTGAGTTGGACAGCTTTGGAAGATCCAGCTCAGAATCCTATCTGATGAGGGTGGTCATAATATTTTAAAGTATCAGAGTTTGGACAATGTGCTAGTGAGCAGGTCCAAAGTTTCTAGGTGTGTTCCTAAGCGTGTCCATCAGTGGACTGTATTGAGGTCTTTCCATTGTCAGAACCAATCAGCTATCGGTTTGATGACAATTTAACACCTGGGGGCAATGGTTAATATTTCAAGGGTTCCAGTTTAGCCAGTAGATATCCAGGCCAAGACTTCCTCTTACATGCACTGGTCATTGTTCACAGTCTGATTAGTAACTTAAGATGCAAAAATACAACCAGAATGCTATCTGCATATAAATGCAGATACATTTTTATAAAATGCTAAATAGTCATCAGACGATAGTTGATGGATTCTGGGATGCATTCTGGCCAATGCGTTCCACCTCTTTTGCTCTCACACGAGCTGTTTGTCTGCAGGGAACCAAAGCATGATTGGTCAATACTACTTAGACTACAAACAGAAAGCAGAACGCTTCCAATACCAATATCTTGTCCTGCTGCCTACAGATTTTACATTCATAAGCAAATACCTGTATCTTTTTATTGAGATTAGGTCTTTCTAATTTGTTTAGCGTTGGACCGGAGTTCAAGAGTTCCTAAGTTCATCTAGAGTTCTTCAGAGTGTACAGGATTCCTGGCATTTATAATAATACTTCAAAATGTATGCTCTATTAAAAATTTTGGACTCTTACAATAATTATCAAGCTGTGCCTTAACTGACACGTGCAGTTTTGTACTGTAGTGGGTTTTGGCAAAAAGTTGTGTACATATGAACATGTCCTTTAAAATTGCACTTAGAATTACACATAAAATTACAGGCTTGTAGTTGAGAGTGGGTTTTAGAGTTTCGGACGGAGGGATCCGACCACAGGCTTGTCTGAGCAGAACTCTTTCCACCAGGATGGTCGCTCCAGCACCTGGCTGCCATGCATCACTGTCGACCACAGGTTCTTGTAAAGCTAGGTGAAAGAGAAACAACGAGAAGAGGTTTTAATTTGCTCACTGTTGAGAAAAAAAGTAATGATCTATTTCCAATCTTCTGTTGCATGCAACCTATTCCACTTCCTATCTAAACATAGATGCTTAACACACATCTCTCCCCGCAGCACAGAAGATCTATACAATCAGCACAGTTTCAAGGTGGACACCCAAGATTAGTGTGCAATGCAGTATCTGACCAAATGTCTCTTCCTCTGTTTCTGACGTGTAATGTTGAGCAGAAAAGTGTTTTATGAAGAACGTTATGATGTCACAGTGAAGCTAACCATTAACTTTTTGGATACAAAATGTCATCACTTCATCATTTTATCCTGTTAGGCAATTGTGTGAAGTTTTTTCATAATTAGTGTGTGAATTCTTGAGTTATGGCCAAAACATGTTTTGTAAGGTTACAGTGACCTTGACCTTTGACCACTAAATTCTGATCAATTCATTCTTAAGTCCAAGTAGATGTTTGTGCCAAATTTGAGGAGACTCCCTCAAGGCCTTCTTGAGATATTGTGTTCACAGGAACAAGATAGATGCAAGTTCACAGTGACCTTGACCTTTGACCGCCAACATTTAGTCAGCTCATTGCAGAGTCCAAGTGAACATCTGTGTTTAATCTGAAGAAATGCCCTCAAGGTGTTCTAGAGATATCATGTTCACAAGAATGAGACAGCCAAGGTCACAGTGACATTGACCTTTCACCACCGAAATCTAATCAGTTCATCTCTTAGTCTAAGTCGACGTTTGTGCCAAATGTGAAGAAATTCCCAAATAGTAATTTTGTTGCTGAGAATGAGATGAATGCAAGGTCACAGTGACTTTAACCTTTGACCACCTAAATCTAGTCAGTGGACATTTAAGCCAATTTAAAGATATTCCCTCCAGGCTTTCTTGGGATATCGCATTGGCAAGAATGGGATGCACAGACATACAGACGTACAGACGGACAGACAATCTGAAAACATAATGCCTCTGGCCACAGCTATTGCTGGTGTGGAGGCAAAAAAAAAATTCATTCTGCTTGAGCACGGGAACCATTTCCTCATACAGCTTTCAAACAGGACTGATGCATATGTTGAACACATACACATCGAAGACAAGGGGATTGAATCTTTGAATATTTGGTTGTGGTGTGGGTGGACATCTTCATACCATGTTTTGATATGATACAGTTCCCTCCCTGTATAATCTGAGTTGTCATCTTCACTTCCTGTCTAACCAGACATCAAACCTGTAATCAAAGTGCCTTTTAGATCGACACCAACCACAAGAGGAGGCAAAGCTGTCATCTTGAGGATACTATAAACATGCTACTGGCCTTCCAAATGTCACGTCTTCCTGATATAAGATGAGGAACCCAAACAGATCTGACGAATTATGGCTCTCAACCTCACTATGAATTTGGGTGTGACCGCAGCTAAACATGTTAATGAAGATTCTGGAGAGTGATTCACAGCAGGACGACCTGCTGACTAACTTGACAGACTGATGCTGTTTATCTTTTTGGATTGTTTTGATATTTCTGCTTCATATATGCTTCATTATACTGTTATTATGTTGTTGTTGTTGTTGTTGTTGTCATTTTAAGTTTACAGGAAAGAGGGTGAGGAGGACATGACACATGACCATGGTCAAGAGCTAGACTGAACCATGTGTAATTCCCTCCTGTGCTGTGTGGAAGTGACCATTTGCACGTTTACTACCTCAAATATAATCAAGATTAATTATAAATCATCATGACTTGTATCCGAGGCAATCTGAATTGGTTTCTGGTAATGTGATACACAGCTTTGTTTCGGAATATGCAACACTACATCACAATATCAACTAAAATGATCAGTGCCTGGTTGTACACACACTACCTAAAGTTTTTGCCTCTCCTGGTAGTTACTGTCATAATACAGCACATGTACCCTTTGGTTACCATGGTTACCCTTCCCTCACATCATCATCATTATTTAACATTAAGTTGACAGCAGTGCTGTCAGTGTTAGCAAGCCTCTCTAAAGTGGACGCCAAAGATAATACAAAAAGAAAAAGAAAGCCAAACCAGACAGATGAGAATGTACCTGACGTTTGCTAGTGAGTTTTCTTGGCAATTTTTTGTTTCTGACTCTGCATGTGGGATTCCACCACCTTGATTCCCATCGTGCCAAGTTTAAAAAATGTTCCAGCCATGCCGTGAAATCTTAACTAGCAAATTTTAATCAAATTTGGAATTCCTCATGTCATCCAGGGTAAAGTGATAGCTAGCTAAAAGACAGTTGAAAACAAACTAGAATTATCACCCCGCGGTTGTATGCACCAGTCAGATTTCTCTTACAGTTTGCATCCATGTCTGTGAAAACATGGATGCTTCACACACATCTTGTCTCTTGTAGAACAGAAGATCTATACAATCGGCACAGTGTGATGGTGGATACCCAAAATTAGTGTCGCCAATTCAGTTTCTGGCCAAATGTCTCCCCCTCTGTTCCTGAGTTACGACATTGAGATTTGATGAGAAGGGTCTCATGCATTACAACATTATGATGTCACAGTCAAGTTGACCTTTGACTTTTCGGATGTAAAATGCCATCACCTAATTATTTTATCCTATTGGGCATTTCTGTGACATTTTGTCATAACTAGCTTATTAATCATTCTTGAGTTATGGCCAAAGACATGTTTTGTGAGGTCAATCTGACCTTGACCTTTGACCACAAACTTTTAATCAGTTTATTCTTCAGTCCAAGTAAACGTTAGTGTGTTCTTGAGATATCATGTTCACAACAATGAGACAGATGTCATAGTCATAGTGACCTTGACCTTTGGCCACCAAAATCTAATCAGTTCATCATTAAGTTCAAGTGGATATTTGTGCCAGATTTGAAGAAATTCCCTCAAGGTATTCTTGAGATATCACATTCACAAGAATGAGACAGATAAGGTGACAGTGACCTTGACCTTTGATATATGACCACCAAAATCTAATCAGTACATTGTTGAGTCCAAGTAGACATTTGTGCCAAATTTGAAAGATATTCCCTCAAGCTGTTCCTGAGAAAGTGCATTCACAAAAATTAGATGGATGCAAGGTCACGGTGACCTTGACCTTTGAGTCTTGGCCACCAAAATCTTATCAGTTCATCGTTGAGTCCAAGTGGACATTTGTGCCAAATTTTAAGAAATTCCCTCATGGTATTTTCGAGCTATTACATTCACAAGAATGAGACAGACAAGATCACAGTGACCTTGTCCTTTGACCTATGACAACCAAAGACTAATCACTTCATCATTGAGTCCAAGTGGACATTTGTGCCAAATCTAAAGAAATTCCCTTAAGGCATTCTTGAGATATCATGTTAACAAGGATCGGAAGTAGGTACATACGGAGGGATGTATGTACGGATGGGGGATGGACAGACAACCTGAACACATAATGCTTCCGGCCATGGCTATTGCTGGTGCTGAGGTATAAAAAGATGTCAACAGTTATTTTGAGATTTTATATTGTACCATCAGAAAAAAAAAAAAGATTTAACCAACTCCTATGTCTGAGCATTTTAAGACTTGAAAAATTCTGATTTAAGATTTATTTTTAGATTTATGAATTCAATGCCCTTCAAGACTTTTTAAGGATCTGTGGGAACCCTGCTGATGATACAGAATCCCTGCTCTCATGGAAAAGTTAATAAGTTGTTAATGTATAAAAAACTCTCCAGAATGTGAAACAAACTTGAACCTTCTATTTCCTGGGAATGTATTTTCTACACAGTTCTGCCCATTAGTCTAAGGCCTTCCTCTAATCCTCCTAACCGACCTATCCATAATTAAGACCCCCTGAGAGTCCTTGTACAATTTTAAATGTTTTTCAAGTAAGAAGGATGAAGGAGAATGTAATACAGTAGAGACAGAATGGAAGTCTGTGGTTAAATCATTATTAATCTATAAACTTTCTCAAACTTGCCTGATATTACAGATTAAGTATCTAAGACCAAATCTGCCACATAAATAAATCTGACAAAGCCTGATGCTGACACAGAGGAACAGAATCCTCTGTGGGTCTGCATGACGTCTTCATTTCTTAGGCTAAACAAACACTAGTTGAGCCTTCTTATGAAAAAGGGAAGTTCTCAGACAGTGCAGAGAGGGTCACTGTCAACAATTGTCAAACACAATTTATGACCAAACACAACGCTGGATGTGTTTTCCTGGAAGAGGGAGAGACAGCAGCCAAAGCTCTCCGGTCTTCTTCCCGTAATGAGACTTAACCTGACTGACTAAATGTCCCACAGTGGGCCTATAGGGGAATGGGGAGTGACTGAGAGGGAAAAACAACTGTATGGCTTGTTACTGACTCACTGTGATGACTGTTGGTTTGTGTACAGAGTACACAGTTATACTTGCACAATTTATGAAAAAAAAAACAAAACAATTATTTATTTAACAAAAAGCATCCTCAAGTAAAATTCTGTTTGTTTTTAGTTTGTTTGTGTATAGATGTGCACTGGGTTCAGTAGAACTGAGAGTATGTACAGTATGGAGTCCAGAGTGTGCCACTAAGATAATGATAAATGTAATGATCAATGGTCAATTTTAAACAACTATTGCTTTTTTGATTAAACAAATTTTATCACACTTAATTTGTTTATACATAGAGAGGCACACATATGGCATTATAGAGCCTGTAACGATAAGTACATGTTTGTTTACCCTGTTGGAGATTAATTTTCTAATACAACATTTAAAAAGCCTCACCATCCCTAGAGTTCAAAAGAGGCAGTAATTTATTGTGAAATAGTTTTTTCATATGCAGTTACCAATTTTTTTTTTGCGGAGATTCAATTATCGGAAACAATAATATTTATTTAAGTTTTATTTAGTGGGGATGTGTCCACACTAGGTTCAGTGGAACCGAGGGTGTGAACTAAAATAATTATTGATTTGATGATAAATGATCAATTTTGAACAACTAAAACATTTTTTTTTAAATTAAACAAAATTTTACAATATTTAATGTATTTTTTCCAATAAGTAAAGATAAACACCTGTTTACTGTGATGATTAGCAATACCTATACTATTCATGCAAAAATGTGAAGAAGAATATAAATCCATATCTTTGGATTGACAAGTTTAATTTTCTAATACAACAACATTTAAAGAGCCTTTACCATCACTAGAAGAAAAGATAGTGATTTATTGTAAACTTGCCTTTAGCGGGGTTTTTTTTTAACAAGCACAATTTTTGAGAATTAATTATCAGCTGAGTTTCATATCATCCAATAATAATTTCTAAATTATCCATTGATTTCTGATTATTTTTCTTTACTTTGTCTTTACATGTTCAATCAATAATTGAATATCAATACAGTCTGACATTTTAAAAAGGCTGTCTATTTTTACTCTGTAACTCCATTTACCACTATAACGTTCCTGCACTTTAAAAGCCTGTCATTTTGATCTCCGATTATTAATTAATTTAAAACGCATTTCATCATTACAGTATAGTTGAGACTCCATAGATAAGTTGGATCTAAATACAATTAGCACTGATATTGTGTTGAATAGTTTAACAGTTTCCTTTGAGTATTTAATTGGTTTGCTAAGACGATGAATTAAAATTAAGTCCTAATGGTTACAACAAATCAGGTATATTTGACATTAAAACATGACCCTCATGAGGCTGACGTCAGGTTTACACCAAACAATGTGTATTCTCAACAGATACATTTTTAAGAATAATTAAGGCAGTATGCAGTATATGATAGTGCCTCTTAACTAATAAATAATTTTAAAAAGTATCCCCACACCTGTCAAAAGCTCTCTAACTGTGTTGGTACGACATGACAATTATTGTAGCATTTATTCTTGTGACTAGGCTTTGTGTGTTTGTATGTCTTTACCTGTCCATCAGCGTTGCCAATAGGTGAGTTAAGAATGAAGTCAGAAGGTGCAAGAACATCCACCAATGCTACTGCATCATCTTTCAGCTGGAGAAGACACACACAGAGCAGATTAGACTGAGCTTTGAATCAATACCAGAGCAGCATCTATTGTAGCCATGATGTCATCATTCAGCTTTATAAACACAGGCGGGAAGTACAGAAGGACAAGAAAGGAACCTAATAACAATAAACTCTGTAAAATAAAATAAAACTGTGTAACTAAGAAATGCAAAGGATGGGATGTTTGTGTACCTGAGAGCAGAGAGTGAGAATGGCCGTCTGCATCAACTCTGCGGGCTTACTTCCACTCAAGTAATTACCTGTATGGGAACGAAAATATGTATTAAGACCATGGAAAGTATTATCTGTTGATGCATGCAGTATGTGGAATACAGTACACACCCTGGTAAAGTGTGGCTGTGTGGCTGCTGAGGCTCCACAGCCCGTACAGGGCACACAGCTTGCTGAGTACAGGTCTGAGACCAGCTGGTGTGTGCTCATCAGTAATCAGCTCATGAAACCTCTGGAGGCAGCAGTGTTCCAAGTAGGTGATGGCCAGGGAGCGGCAGTAGTAAACCTAAACACACGGCCACAAACACACAAAGGGTGAACATTTGTAGCACACTTTTGATTTTTTGCTATAAACTCAGGTGAACAAAGGAAGGCAGTACAACATTAAGTCACTATTAACGCAGTTCAATGTACACAACCATGTGTACATAGGTAAGTGGTACTTTCTCTACATCAACTGAGAGTCTAAATCAGGTATCGTATTTTGGTCTAAAGGGCAGTACGGTGGTGTCGTGGTTAGCACTGTCACCTTCCCTTCTGTGCGGAGTTTGCATGTTCTCCCCGTGTCAGCGTGGGTTTTCTCTGGGTACTCCGGCTTCCTCCCACAGTCCAAAGCCATGCAGGTTGGGGATAGGTTAATTGGTGATTCTAAATTGTCCGTAGGTGTGAATGTGAGTGTGAATGATTGTTGATGTGTTAGCACTGCGATAGTCTGGCGACCTGTCCAGGGTGTACCCTGCCTTTCGCCCAGTGTCAGCTGGGATAGGCTCCAGCCCACTTGTGACCCTCAAGAGGATAATATTGGATTGTAATTAGCTTGTGGATTGTAATTTTTCCTCCATTTGGTTAAAAACTCTGCAACAACTGCACTGTGAATGAAATGACATGAAAGTGTTTTTTAAAGTTGCATAGCAATGGAGAGATAACTTATTAAGTACAGATTTATCACACACAACTAATCAAACATCTTTGTAAAAACTGCTCATGTACACACACCCATAAACCAACATAATGAATGCCTAACCCTCTGGGGACTGTTAAATTTTTACAACGAACATTATTGCACGTCACATTATTGCTCACAAAAACAAGTGAATTAAATCACTGAAACCAGTGACACACACATTTCCCAGAACCACAACACACACCCGTCTGACACTGTGACCTCCAGCCTGCATCTGTGACATAATAACACAAACCAGATGACAGCAGCAGAGACTCCACAAAGACAGTCAAAAACTCACCTCCATTTAGCTGAACACCATTTATTGCTGTTTTTAATAAGTAAGCATGGAGACAAAACATGAAGCTAAATCTTATGTGAACATCAGTTCTGATAAGACATCACGAATACTGCTTTAATTTACATCCTAAATAGAGATTATTGGCTTCTACACCACAAAAGGAGGAAAGAATGCCATAATATGCTCAGTGAAATTCTTATGAATCCTCTACACAACCATAACACAGCTTGATGGCAATACTGATACAGGGGGGATGAGACAATTTCCAATTAAGCTTAAGGCTGCCTCTGATTTGGCCACATAACCCTTGAATGGTCAGTCTCAGTTTAGGGCCGTAACGGTACATGTATTTGTGTCGAACCGTTCAGTACGCAAAATTCGGTTCGGCACGACCCTGTACCACATTATTGGGCGCAGGATATTATTTTATTTTATTTTGTTTTATTTTAATTCCGTTTTTGCGAGCCGAACCATTTAAAATATCTAGTTCCCAGACGGATATAATTGACTGACGGACCGAGTCCCGTAAATCTCCGCTTTCACTTTGTGCAGCGCATTCTCGCATTTTGACAACATGGCAAGTGAGCCTGACGAAACTGAAGACCCACCCGCAAACCTTAAGTCCTCCGTTTGGGAACACTTTGGTTTCAGGGTAAAATACGAAGATGGAAATAAACAAGTTGACAAGACAAAAGCAGTGTGCCGACACTGCAGAACAGCGGTCGGGTATGTACTTGGAAACACATCTAACATGCTAACACAGCTAAAGCGACACCACCCGAGTTTGAACGTTAACTGGCACGACTAGAAAAAGCAATCTGGTGCAAACTACGATATTGTCGTCATTTAAAAAGAAAGAGCGTTTCCCTGACCATTGCGCTAAAGAAATAACCAATGCCATTGGAGTTGAGTAAAATTGTTTAAGCTGCACTTTAGATATAAGCATGTTTTGTTTACTGCACTTTAACAAAGTGGGAAAGCTAAGTAAGTTCCTAGTAAAACTGAATCTGAGCAGGCTTTAAAGCTGACCAGCTGCACTATACTTTTTATTTTAATTGAGTAAAACTGTTAAAGCAGAAATGTCTATTTATATTTTTCATTCAAAAAATGTGTTAAAAAAACAGCAGGATTTTATTTTTCACTTTTATATTTCTATTTTCATTCAAAAATTGTGTAAAAAGAGTTAACTGCTGTGGTGGTATGTTTTAATAAGGTTACCAATAAGTAAAAGATATTTAATAGTTGTCTATTTTTTTCATTACTGTACCGAAAAAAAACGAACCGTGACTTGTGTACCGAGGTACGTACCAAACCGAGATTTTTGTGTACTGTTACACCCCTATCTCAGTTATCATTGTATCATATCTCCTGACCAGGGGTGGAGGTTAACAAATTACATTTACTATTGTTACTGAAAGTCATTTTTTGTTTATTTCTACTTTTTTGAGTAATTTTGAAAACTAATTTTACTTAAGTACTTTTTATCACATGTATCATACTTACTACATTTCAGGTCGCATCTGTCACTGAACAGACAGTAAACTGTGTGAGAAGATAAGTTGTAATATGTGGCTGAAGCTGCTGAGCAGTTTAGCCTCTTTTTGCATCGTTGTTTTGCATCTGTCGTCAGAATGCATCTTTTTGTAGTTCTCTTAGTCATTTTGCATCTCTTTGAGGTTGTTTAGTGTCTCTTTGTACTTGTTTGTGTCTTTTTTGGTGATTTTGTGTCTGTTTGTGGTCCTTTTGTATCCTTTTTTGGTCATTTTGTCTCTCTTTAAAGGTGTTTTGTGTCTTTTTGCAGTCATTCTGTGTTTCTTTGCAGTTGTTTTGTTGTGTCTTTTAGCAGTTGGTGTGTGTCTCTTTTGGTTGTTTTGTGCCTGTAGTCATTTTGTGTCTTTTTTGATTTCTGTGCCTCTTTGCAGTAGTGTCTTTTTGTGTTTTTTCATGTCTTGTGGTTGTTTTATGTCTCTTTGTAGGTGTTTTGTGTCTTTTTGTAGATGTGTGTCTTTGGGTGGTTGTTTTACGTCTCATTGTAGCTGTTTTGTCTGTTTGTAGTCATTTTGTGTCTTTTTTGTCATTTTTTGTCTCTTAATGGTCGTTTTGTGTCTCTTTGAAGGTGTTTTGTGTCTTTTTGCAGTAGTGTGTCTTCTTTTTCTTTTGTGTCTCTTTGTAGTCATTTTGTGTCTTTTTTGGTCATTTTCTGTCACTTTGTAGTCTTTTTTGTCTATGTAGTCGTTTTATGTCGCTGAAGTCAGTTTTGTGTCTTTTTTGTTGTTTTATGTTTCTTTATAGTTATTGTGTGTCTCCTTGTAGTCTTTTGTGTCTTTTTGTAGTTGTTGTGTGTCTTTTTGGTCATTTTGTGTCTTTTTACAGTCCTGATGTGTCTTTTTGTGGTTGTTTTATGTGTCTTTGTAGTCGTTTTGTGCCTTTTTTGGTCGTATTGTGTCTCTTTGCAGTGCTTTTGTGACTTTTTTGTTTTTTTATAGTTATTTTGTGTTTTTTTGGTCCTTTGTGTCTCTTGGTAGTCATTTTTTTTCCTTTTTGTGGTTGTATTATGTTTTTTGTAGTCGTTATGTATCTCTTTGTAGTCATTCTGTGTCTTTTTGCAGTTGTTGTGTGTCTTTTTTTGGTTGTTTTGTGTCTAATTGTGGTTGTTTTGTGTCTAAATGTGGTTTATTTGTGTCCTTTTCAGTCATGAGTCTTTGCATGGTAAAGGGTTTTAATTCTCCTAATAAAAGAGCAGCCTGTTTAGATTTACTAGCAAGAAATAACATTGATTTAGCTATGTTTCAGGAGACACATTTGCAAAGAGGTGATGTTAACAGAATGGAAAATCGCCATTATAAAGTATGTGCTTCATCCTCTGCTTTAAATAAAACAAAAGGGGTTATAATATTAATACGTAAAGCACTACCAATTACTGTCATAGATAAAGGAGGTGATCAAGATGGTAGAGTTGCTTATGTTAAATGCATTTATAATGAAAGGAAACTGGCATTTATCAATATATATGCGCCTAATACATATGATAATGTTTTTTTTCACTCAGAATGGTATATTTGCTGAACTTTCTGATTATGAATTGATAATCGGCTCTGACATAAATGCCATATTAGATCACAAATTGGATAAATCAAGCAAAGCTCATTCTAATGTACAAGCAACTAAAGCTCTACAGCATTTACTCTCTGACTTCAATCTTATGGATGTCTGGCGTCTACGTCACCCCACTACTAAGGAGTATACTTTCTTTTCAAATTGGCATAAAACTTTTACAAGGATAGACTTTATATTTATGTCTACTCCCCTTATCTCCTTCATTCAAAACATAGAAATAAAGCATATGACACTTACAGATCACCATGCGTATGTATGCCAATTGACGATCTCCAGGTTGGCTAAAAGAGCCACTAGGTGGCGGTTTGACCTAACTTTGTTACAAAATCAAGATTTGAACTGGAACTCACAGAATTTCTAGAGATAAATCGGCACTCTGTGGATGATGCTAGATGTGTCTGGGACTCAATAAAAGGCTTCATAAGGAACTATGCTAGTTCATATTCTTCTAGATTTAATAAAGCCCAGCTTAAGAGAATCAGGGAATTAGAGGCTTCAATGTCTGATTTGGAACGATCTCAACAAACGCATTTCTCTGAGCAAACAGCCAGGTCTTTAACCAAAATAAAAGTAGAACTTAACTTACTACTAACGCAGAGAGCGGAGTTTATTATGCATAAAAACAGAGTGAATCATTTTTATCATGGAAACTGTCCCAGTCGGCTTCTAGCTAATAAATTAAAAACAAATGATCAGCTTACAAATATTTCAGTCATCGCATCAGAATCTGGTTCTATGATATCTGATCCTGATTTGATCAATCAAAGATTCACTTATTTCTACAAAAAGCTGTATACCTCAGATGATTTTTCATCAGTATCAGAGAAGGACAGATATCTTCAGAAATTAAATCTAACTTCATTATCAAAAGAAGACGCTTCAATATTAGGGGCCCCTTTATCACTTGATGAACTTAAACAGTCTT